GATATAGAGATAGGGGAGTACATACATAAATGTATACCTCCTTGAGATTTTATGTAAGTAGGTTCTGGGCTAGAAAGGACAAGTTCAAGTTTAGTTTAAGAAAGAAAGACAAGGACAAACTCAGCTCAAAAAACTCAAAGCCAGTGTGGCTGGAGTACAGAGACTTTCAACATCACCTGGCAGCACTGGATGAGAATTTAAGTGAAAATGACTTCAGAAGAGCTCGTCTTTCAGCCAGGCTGGTGTTTCAATTGCATGCATTTTGTGCCTCTACCCTACTGCCACTCCTGCTCCAAACTACCAAAAACGTACAAAGTTACAGACAGATAGGAGCAGTTTGTGTCTGTATGATAAAAAACAAGATTAAGAACCTCCAAAGAGAATGTTATGAACACACACAGACACACACCCCCCCACACACACACACAGAGGAATATTATTCAGCCTTGAAATAAAAGGAAATCTTGTCATTTGCAACAACCTGAATGAACCTGGAGGACATTATGCTAAGTAAAATTAGCCAGACACAGAAAGGCAAACACTGTGTGGTCTCACCTATATGTGAATCTAAAAGAAAATCAAATTCGTTGAAGCAGAGAGTAAAATGATGGTTGCAGGGGGGGAAGGGAGGGAATGGGAAGATGGTCAAAGGATACAAAGCTTCAGTTAGGCAGGATGGATAAATTCCGGATAGCTAATGTATAGCATGGTGACTACAATAACATTTCATTGCATACTTAAAATTTGCCTAGAGAGTAGTAGATCTTAAATGTTCTTACCATACACACAACAAAGATAACTATGTGAGGTGATGGATATGCTAATTAGCTTCATTGTGGTAATCATTTCACAAAGTATACATATTTCAAAACATTATTCTTCAATAAAGCTGGGGGGAAAAGACTATGGCAAAAATGATTAAGAACCTCCATGGATCAAAAACAAAATAGAAATATAAAGTGTACTGTAGATAGAGATGTCCATTAGCCTACTTCCATGGGTGACTGGGGCTAAAAATGTCCTCAGAAAAAGGCTGGGACCTGAGCCCAGCTCACTGCTGGAGATCAGAGAACATGGTGGAAGAAATACTCACACCACAATTAAAAGGGGCTTTAAAAATCTGCTTGCCCAAGGGGTTGGGAGGAGGCAGACACAGCCTCACAACCAGGACCTGGGCCATGTTGTTCACTGGCCTGGTACGGATCTTGAATATTCCATCATCATCATCATCATCATCATCATCATCATCATCATCATCATCATCATCATCATCATCATCATCGACCAAAAGGCCCCTGCTGCAAATATAAGACTTAGCTCTGCACAGGGGTCCTCAGAGACAGGAATGAGGCAACAGCAAATCCCAGAGTGCAGAGAAAGACTACATAGGAAACAAACTCAGGATGAGGCTCTAAACCGTAATTCCACAGCACATGAGGAAAAACCAATGCTGTGAAAGATGGTCAATAAAATCAGCACCAGATGTATCCCCTCCAGATAAAAGAAAAGAATAGAGCAACCTGAAAATAACTTTAAACTGGTGCTTTTAAAACAAGAAGGTATTTGTAGGGAAAATACAGGAAAATGGTCAGGGCCCCTCAGATGTTCAGAATCTTGTCAAGCATTTGATGTATGTACGCCCAGGTGTTCCTTGGTTATTGTCTAATGTAATGGCACATGTGCACCCAGGTGTCCTGGGTTATGGACTTAAGTATAAAGGATGAGTGGCTCTGATCCACGCCACCCCTGGGATTGCCCGGGGGTGGGGTGGGGGGTACACTACTGATAGGCTGCTACTGCTGCTGGAGGTTGTTGCTGCAAGCTGTTGCTGCCAGTGCCCCTGGGATGCCCCGAGAGGACACTGCTACTGCTGCTGCTGCTGCTGCTACAGCTGAGGACTGAGCTTGTGTCGTCTGCCAATCGCTCACAGGATCTTTCCCAATTACCTACCATTGACCTGCGTGTGAGGAGTCTGGTGACCCAGTCTGTGTCTAACTCTACGACCACGCTAATGTTGGGCTCTTTTACCTGCCGGTAATCCTGCTGACTGGGTCGACTGTTGAGCTAGGGCTGGGTCTGAAGCTCCCAGACTCCTCAAACCCATTCAAAGTGGGTCACAAACCCTTCACATGCCAGCCTGGGTCCCCAGACCCCTCACACGCCAGGCTGGGTCACCAGACCCCTTCACACAGAGGTCTGTGAGCTAGGTAACTGGCCAAAAGGTCCTTGGAGCCATAGGTTGGAAAGCATGGCTGTGCCGGCTAGACTCCTGAGGCCAATGCCCGCCTGTCTGCGTCACTAAAACTCTCTCTCTTCTCTTCTCTCTCTCAAGAACACAAGAATAGTGCATGCGCACTAACTACACACACACACACTCTCCCTCCTCTCCCTTTCCCTCTCCCTCCTCTCCCTTTCCCTCTCTTTCCTCTCCCTTTCCCTCTCCCTCCTCTCCCTCTCCCTCCTCTCCCTCTCCCTCTCCCTTGCTTACAAAGAATGCTGAACCACAGCGGAGGCGAGGGCCCTTACCAAACCATTCTATTTTCCCAACAAATGGGTTTGAAGCATCTGAGCCCTAGCTCCAACAATACAAATGGAAACAGTATAACTAAAATAGTGAAACATTTTGGCTTTAGTTACAAATTACCCCAACCAGACAAGTCACGTAGTTATTGCTATAACCTGACAGTATCGCAAAGACTATCTTCAGTTATATTTTAACATCCTCAAATTAAATTTCTAACTATGTAAATCTTGAAGTTTTAAATGTTTAACTTGTACTTTTCAGTGATGTGACTGGAAACAGAGTGTCATCTCTGTACTTAGCTACCGAAAGACCACCAGATGTGGCTATGTTCCCTGAGAGCCATGAAGCGAGAGCTTCCAAGAGCAGCACCTTTAAAAACTGAAACACGGGCCGGCCCGTGGCTCACTCGGGAGAGTGCGGTGCTGATAACACCAAGGCCACGGGTTCAGATCCCATATAGGGATGACCGGTTAGCTCACTGAGTGAGCGTGGTGCTGACAACACCAAGTCAAGGGTTAAGATCCCCTTACCGGTCATCTTTAGAAAAAAAAAAAGCTGAAACACAACCTTGGGCCAGTTTGGGAAGGCAGAAGGGACATTAACTGCCAAAATGGAGAAGATGCATCAAAATGTTAAGCCTATTCTGGAACAGAACACCTTTCTTGATAAAAGGATGGGAAAGCAGATGGACTAAGAAAATGACCCCTGGAAATTAAACATGGGCTTTATAAACTAAATTCAGGCTAAAGTTTAAATAAACTTATTAAATTCTCTACCTTCTCTGCCATGGAGGAAATATAAGTATCTACACTTATAAGGCAACATTATATGCATATTACAGTGGAAGATCCTAAATATGAAATATGACCTTTTGATGAATGACTGGCTGATTGACCAAGTATTCAAAGTCAGAAAAAAGTTGGTGTTCAGCACATTCCTCTTTTATGATGTAGCCTCAAAAATCTCTGTGATAACCAAATCAATAGATTTCAAATAATGCGTTAAAATAAGCTGCTGTAGTATTTAATCTGAGAATTTCATTGAACTGCTCCAATGCTTCTAGTGTTACTAGCCCTTGCTATTTAAATGAATTATGTTCTTTCCCTTTGTCAAAGGAGGACATAGCAACAGATGCTACTAGGTGCACAAGGGGGTGGGGTCGGGTGGGGTGGGTGGGGAAGTGACATTCTGCTCTAATCCCAACCAGAGTTTTGGATTAGGCAGAGAAAATACCCCTGTGGGAAACTGACAAAGAAGGAAGGCATATCTTCCCAGAAATCCAGGGAGCCACAGTGAGTTAGCTGATGACTAATTTTAGTCTTTTTTTTTTTTTTTTTTTTTTTAAATCCCAGAAGGAAGGGACTACAGTGCAGACAAAATTCTCCTTAGCTCCTCAGGGGAAATCTTGTAGGGTTCCCCAGATGTCAGGCCTGTGGCAAAATCTAATTCGCCTAGAATCATGGGTTCATGGGTGGCAAGCTCCCTGTCCTAGAAAACGTTCAAATGGAGAGACACGTGATGATGTGTCATGTGTGTGGACGTGCCTGAGGTGCAGCACTGCTTAACTGTTGCTTGTAAATCTGGAACCAAGGACTCTGGGTAAATTTCTAGGCCAGCGTTTCCCATTGTGCGAAGGCAACTCCTACAGGGCCAGCAAGTGCTGAAAAGTCTCAGAGACCACTTTGGTTGTAAATCAAGCTTTTTGACAGGCCACTGTCTCTCTACCTAACTGGAAGAGGAAGAATTATAATGATTAATGTGCATTTACCACCACTGGTCTAAAACCAGCAATTTCTAACAACAGAGATTTATTAGAAAGGAAACCAAAAAACAAGATATAATTAACTGACAGTTATTTAGGAGTTAATTATTCAATCTTTTGTTTCACGGCTTTCTTCCTCCTACTTAATTCCTTTTGACCATTTTTCTGTTGATTAGGTTCCCTTATTCATTAGAGATATAAAGCAGGTAAGACTCATGGGGCAATCTGTGGTTACGAGCTGTTATAAAAAAAGGTTTACTGAAGGGAAGGAAGTGGGGGAGTGGATATTATAATTACTGGAAAAGTGATTTTTTTGTTTGTTTTGGTTAGCAGGGTATGAAAAAAAGTGTGGGCTCTGGAGCCAAATAGACTGAGCTTTGGTTGCTTGCTCTGGTACTAGCTGTGTGTCCTTGGGCAAGTAACTTGGTCAGTCTGAGTCAGCTTCCTTATGGGGAAAATGGGAATATCAATATCAACATTGGAGGACAACTGCAAAGATTGAAAAAATACTACAAAGAGCCAAATACAGTTCTTCAACCTGGAAGGCACACAAGCTACATTATTAAAATTACCTAGAATTTACTCTCCTCATATATTTGAGATATGATTGAAAGCAAATGCTCTTAAGCTGACAAGTAGGATTTCCCAAGTAAATGTGCACTTCTTAACCTGCAAACACTCAGTGATTTAAAATGTGCATGAGTTAAACTTTACCTGTCGACTTCCCTGCTTGGAGGAGCAGCTACTTGTGCTCCTTGAAGGTGAGACCAATTTTTGGGATACATTAAGGTTCTTCTCATCACTCATCATGAGCAGCTGGTCACTTGGCCTTAAAAAGCAGTCAAAACCCAATCAGAAGACAGTGCAGCCAAGAGTATGGAAGTCCGATGCAGGCAGGTGGTTCAGCTCTTATCCAGTATGTTTTAAAAGCATTTTGGGTGACCCAGAGGAAATCCCTAAAACCAAAAGAAAGGGAATTAGAAAGTCAGAGGCATCGGACACCATCTCTAATTAGCCACAAATTGTCTGCAAATGGCTTATCCACATTACAGATTATAGAGCCATGATGCCTCACTTCAGCAGGAAGCTGTGAAGAAAAAGAAGCTTTACATCTTGCTCTTACCAGAAATTTTGTATAAGTGGTTGTTCATGTAGCTTTGCAATATGACAAGCTAAAGAACATGAACAAGACAATTTGAGCCCAAACATGTACAATCAGGGCTTCCTAGTTCTCAGAGAGGAGACACATGGCCCCAGAATCACTGCCTTCATCCATAGCCCTGAGTTGAGGGTAACTAACACGTTTGGTTTTAGCTTTGGGAAACCAACACAATGAAACAAAACTGAAATCAAAACAATGAAGAGAAATATTAAAATCTCAGAAAATAAAACTTAGATGCCTATAGTCATAGAACTAAATTCCCATGTTACCCTCATATAAGCCCCCAAATCTCTTTATTCATTATGTATTGGATGCAACAATGAATAAGACTAAAAACAAACCAACAGCAGCCTCTTCATAAAGTTAGCTTTACTTCCAGGGGCATGACTAAGGGTACCTGAAGTTAGAAGCAAATGCAATCTAGTTAAGAGAGGCTGGACAGATATATTAATAGTTCGTTTAATAACAGTGTTGGCTGTTGCAGTTTGAGAAAAGGGGAAAAAGCCACCTGATGGAAGCCCCAAATGATGAAATGTGTGCGTGGGAGGGGACAACGGATTCCACAGTGGATCAACAATACCAACAAAGGGTTTCTGTTTGTGTGTGTGAGTTGTTTTTTAAGGCTGAGGTTCTGACAAGAGAGAGTATGGAACGAGAGGTGTGTGTGAAATATGAAGAATGGAGAGAAACTGGGGCAATAGAAGGAGTCACAGGAATTCTGAAACTGTGGCACATCAGAAACACTATAACCCTATAACCCTGTCATAGTGGCAACTGATAAAAAGGGTCATCTTTATTTCTTAACCCAGCCAAACTTCATTCGGAGATAACAACCACTAGGGCCAGAGCCGTCAATAAGCCAAATCTGATTCTTACCGAAGTTGGCACTTAAGAGTTAAGGTCTCTGCCAGCAACACCTTCTGGCGGCCCCCAACCCCTGACTCTTTTCCCCTTTCAGGGAAAAAAAGGGGGTGGGGATACACAGCCCCGCCCACACCTAATTCCAGGGCAGAGACTGGGATTATTGCCAAGGGAAATATATCTATTTCATCCCCTAGAATCTTCCTGCCTAGCCTTAGAAGAAACTTGGTTAAAATACCAAGGGCGGCTTAAAGGGCAAAAGAAATCAAATTCAAGAAAAAGGATATGCTTAAAATGGAGCAGAATAAAGAACAAAGTCAACAGTAGGCCAAGGTACCCAAGGTGCCAGGGTGGTCACGTGGACTGAGGCAGCTACTTGGTCCACTCTAGGGGATGTCACAGGGATCAGCTGGGGGGAATCCCGAGACAGAGGGCCTGGATGAAAGGGTGTCTTCTACTCTAGCCAGCTGACTTCACAGTGCTGACACAGGAAAATGATGAAGATAAATCCCTTAAGGGCGATAAGGGGCCCGGGCCCGGGTGCTGATTCTGGGAGTGTGAGAGGATGACGGGGTGCATATGAAGACCCCTAGGTGCTTTCACCCTATCCGGTGACCCTTCCACGCAAAACCTCTAACTCAAGGGGTTTATGGGTTTGAACAAAAGATAACAGTTTTCCTGCTCACAGACTGTGAACAACTTCAGGACAGTAATTTGTTTCCACCTCATTTTTACACACAGAATTTTACACTACCTAATACTCTGTAACCATCACCTGGATCAAGAAATAGAACATTTTCAGCCTCCCAAGAAGGCTCCTTGGCCCCTGGAGCTGATCTTCCTGCAGAGCCCTGTCCGTGAGTAAACCTCTCCGGCAAGTACTTGTCACTATGCCTGAAGAACAAGAGCTAGGACTTCCTCAACTTACATGAATGGGTTCTATGACTGCTTTTGTGCTTTCCACCTCACACAAGTGTTTGATGTGTGACAGAATTCAGTTTGGGACCTGCTTTCATTTCAACAAACTACCCATTTGAGGAGGAGAGGACATATGACGACTTTCCCCTTCCTCTAAATCACAGAGGCCACCAAATGCAACAGGTGTGAAAAGCCAAGTGCTTTTCAAAATCAGCCAGATGTAATTGAAAAATGCCCTGCTTATGCCTCTGAAATGGCCTGGGTCCTCTCTCACTATTGCCACCCACCTTTGAGAAGTTGATGGGTCAGATTTGGGTGAAAAAGTAGTGTTTCAGTTAATAGTCAAATGGGCATAAAACATGCAAGCAAATGTCGCCCTGGGGCTTCCATTAGGGAAAAAAGAACTCTGACTTCTACCAGGAATGGGGAAGAATGAATGACTGATGCACTGCCAAGTAACAAAGGCAACAAAGGCTGGTTTTAAGACTCATTTCAGTAGGTTTCACTTAGAAAAGAAGACACAATTTGGGAAAAAATGTAAAGGAGATGTACACACCATATATGTGCCTCAGAAGGAGTCAGATCTAGGTTTGAACCGGTGCTCCCTGATTACAAACTCTGTGCACCTAACAAATGTATTAACCTCTCTGATCTTCTGGGTTTTTTTCTGTATAAAATGGGGAATAATAAGATACACTTCTCAGAATTGCGAGGATTAAATGAGAAAATGAGGATACATTGTCTGGCTTCAACAGAATAGACACTCAACAGATGTTAGTTCCATTTCCTCCTTTCCTGGCTTTCCTGAAAGTGGCATATGCAGCACAAGATAAGAACCCATACCTCTCTTTCAATCAAAACAAAATAAGGATTCTACAGAATTTTAAAACATTTGTGTCTTTCAATAATATATTAACATTTCCCAAAATCTGTAACACAAGTGTGAACAGACTTTTAAATCATTAAAGCAGAATGTTTACTTTGTAGGAAAATGCATAAAGATAAAGCCACATAATTTGTCATCACTGGCTGTCCAAAAAAATTTTTAACATTAACTAGTAGATTGGAAATGGTGGCATATAACATATCTGTTTATTAATCCATTAGGCCTGGAGATCTGCACTTACACATTTGACTGTATTTTAAGAAACAGATTTTGCTTTCATAGCTAGAAACAACTCTCATGAAGACCAGATGGCAGAGTTCCAAATAATATAAATTATGTCCTGAATTAACACCGAAAAAAATTTATAATGGGATATCCATTTCTGATCTTTGGTAAAAAAAAAATTATTCAGATCCTGGATATGCATCTTTTTAGAAAAGATACCTTGAGTTCAAAAATGTTACATGATCAAAAGTAGGGCATTGGTTATTTGGTCTAAGTGCCACAGACCAGAGATTCAGGATTAGAAGTTTCCAGCAGCAGGTACTAATCACAATAACTTCAGATACTGATAGGTGATCCCGGACCTCTGTCTGAAGTGATGGCCAGTCTGCCTTAACCACCCAGGCTATGGGCCTGATCCAGAGGCACCAATGTCTGACTGCTCCTGGGGGATGAGTAGTGAGGCTCTGAGTCCACATAAGTCCCCACCCCCATTTCCTTAAAGGCAAACCAACCTCCCCACAAACTATTTTTTATTGTATTCTCTTCTGGAAAGATGGGGATCAAGAGGCCTAAATATTCAAATGATACTCTGCACAAAGTATCCATTTCTAGCCCCTGCTCCATCCATGCCCTTCACAATCCACTTCTTCAGTCAAGATCACAGAGATTGCTCAGAATTCAGTCCAGGAAGAGAAATGCACATGGACACAGATTTGAAGTGTGGCAATTGTCACAAGCCAAAAAGTTTGACATTGGCGCCAGGATATCAATTTGTGCTTGAACCATTTATGTGATCATTGAGTAAACACAACAACAACAACAACAACAACAAAAATGCAAAAATACCAGTCATTTCAAAGAATCATGAAACCTGAGAGTGAATTCTACACCGGCTTCTTACCCAAAGCAATAATTCTGATCATCACTGCCTGACCACTTCCCATGACAGAAACAGGGCACTCCATTTTGCTTTTCATTAAAAAAAAAAAATTCATTCTAGAAAGTTTCTCATTATTTACTGTTGAAATTTGTCTCACTATAATTTACACGCACTAGTTCTAGATTTACCCTCTGTAATTACAGAGGACAAGATTAAGCATTTTTTTCACCATAACCAGAGTTGGAACCACCCCACCCTACCCCACATCCAGAAAATCGGCTCTTCTCCAGACCAAACAGCCACATTTTCATTGTCCTTTCTCATGTGACATGGATCCAGAGCTCTTATGATCACAGATGTCCAACTCTGATTACAGTTGCTTTTCTGTGCTTCCCCTGATAATGATGCACAGATTTAAAGACAAGCTCCAGGAGTGGTCTGGCCAGAGCAGAAGAGAAGTCAACAGTCACCTCCCTTGCCTTGAACACACTGCAGCTGTTAATGCTGTAAGTCTGCCTTAGGTCTGGGGGTCCTCGTGTCTCTTTCTAACCTTCGGTGTCATTACAGTTCACTAGGACTGTCAGGTTGGAGGAACTGCTGAGAAGCTGGGCTTCCTTCTGAACAGGACTCCTTTACTTCCTTTAACTGAAATCCAGGACTTGACTGTTCTTTTTATTATTAATTACTATGGCTACTATTATTATTAGATTACCTCATGTTAATTTTGACCCATGTCAAGGTATTTCCAGGGACTGATTTCATTGGCTGTATTTTCCTTTGTCACAGAATCCAGATTGCATAGGCATGAGATTCTGCCCTTATCCAAGTAAATCATACCTGGAGATTTACTAACCTCCAAGCATACCTAGCATGCTTGGAGAAAAGCACCAAGG